GTGATGAGACAGGCCCTGTTCTAAGCACTCGGCATGGAAGGAAGTCACTTAATCCTCATAAAGAAGAAAACATCTCTGAGGTTCAGAGAGGGTAAGTGATTTGCCCAAGGTTGTACAGATGGTGAGTGGCTGAGTCAGGACTTGAACACAGGCAAGCTGGCCCCAGAGTTCATGCTTTTAACCACTTTTCTTCCCTCTGAACCTTGCAAGCCCAGGGGGCTAAATATAAATTAGGGGAAAGAGCACTGGCTTGAGAGCCAACCCCCCTGCCCCCGCCATGTCATTCCCAGTCATGTAGCCTGGCCAGACCATGCGGTGAGTTCAACATCCTCACCTGCAAAATGAGGGTGATATCATCCACTTCCAGGGTTGAGGTAAGGATTAGTAATAACACGCTTTAAGGCCTGCGGCTCAGAAACTCCTCTGAATTATGAAACTAACATATGCACATGGTAACATAGTCTGGTACAAAAAGGGTCCCAGTAAAAAGGGAGTTCCCCTCCTACTCCACATATTCAATTCCTCCCCCCAGAGGCCACCATCATCAATTGCTTTTGTATCACTTTTTGGAAATTCTCCATGCACAGAAAGACAGAAGTTCTATCGGATAGTGATTTAGAACATGGACTGTGGTACTGCCGCTTACTAAGCACGTGAAGCATGGGCAAGCTATGTGTTCTCTCTGGGCCTCAGTTTCCTCACCTGGAAATTAGTTAATAAAATTAAGTTCCTTGTTTAAAGGGCAGTTGTGGGGGTTAAATGAGTCAATCTATGTAAAGCGTTTAGAACACTCTCTGGCACATGTCCAATACATATACACATACAGCGGATCCTTTCTGATAGACACTGAGATAGGCTTTTGCTACCACAAACAACGCCGCAAGATGCATCCTCATTCACCTGTCATTTGGCACAAGTGCGAGGATCTCTGTGAGATAAATTCCTGGCGGAGAAACTGCTGGGTCAAACAGTAGTGCCCTTGTAGTTTCAATTAATTGTTGGATGAGTGAGCCCCCGCAGCAGGCAGGGGAGAGGGGGAAATGGTCCACAAGGCAGGGAGGACGAGTGAGGAGTGAGATGCAGTGCTCTGTCTCTGAGGTCCAGAGAGGGCCATGTCTGAGGGATGAAGCCTCAAGGATGCAGCAGTTCCCTAGGCCCCTGGTCAGGCAGATGGAGGGTTTAATTTCATCCAGATTGTTCCCATAAAGGTTTTACAGGGAATTGGTTGATTGGATTAGAGGAGCAGGAGCCCCTAATGAGCAGCAGCTGCTTAACAAAATGTCAAAGCAGATACAATTTTCCTTTGCCACTATCCACCATGGCAGCATCCAGGCTCTTGATAGGGACCCCTGGATGCCAAAGTCCCTTCAGAACGATGCCCTGATTGGGTTCACCTTCTCTGAACATACTTCTAGGTCACAGACATCCCAGAAGAGGTAGATAACAGGGGGTTAAGAGCACAGGTGTGGGGGTAAGACAAAAGGTCTTTAGTCTGCTGAAATTACGGCATGACCTTGGGCAAATCATTTGCTTCCTGAACGCAGAGAAGAACGTGACCCACCCTCGCAGGGTTGTCCGGAGGACTAAATGAAGTCAAACACGACGTGCTTACACGGTACCTGGCACACAGTGAGAGCCTAAGACATGCAAGGGCAGAAGATCCCCAGGAAGACTAAAAGCAGCTACTCTGGACCCCACCCCATAAGCCCCTGGGACACCGTGCACAGTGGTAGCTTCCCATCCCCTATGTAAAGAGAGCGTTTTAGCAGTTGCCTCACCCACGTCCTAGGGAACTTCCAGATGCTCTAGTCTGTGAAATGGGACTTGTGACTTATGTTTCCAAGTAAGTTTTAAAGTTCTTGCCAAAGCTAATATTCCATCTTGTGTCTGATCCAAAAGGGCAAAATGAGGGTGGGAACTCTCAAATGAGAAGGGAAAAAAAAGACACTTGGAGAAAGTTTCCCAAGCACCCCCATCTTCCCCTCATTTGTCTGGTCCGGGACCTACTCTTCAGAGAAGTCCCCGGGGAAACAACAGCAAGTACCCCCACTGCTCCAGGAAGAACCTGAATCAGGTAAGCGCACAGGTTCGGGGTCCAATCACGATTAGCCTACTTGGGCCTGAGCTTTGTGCCCAGGAGTTCGAGCCTCACCGCCCTTCCTCACCTGTAAAGTGGGGAGAATACTGGCTCTGTGGGAGAGATTTGAGGCGAGACCGCGAGTGAGCGCCCGCCCCTGCCGGGCTGGCCTTCCGCACCCCGCACCCCCGGGGCACATATGCGTCGCGCCCCGCGCATCCGCCGCCCGGGAGGAGGCCGCCGCCCTCCACGCCTCCGGGGGCGGATTCCCTAGCGGCCTCCCGCGCCTCGCGGTGGGGACCCGGGTGATTGCAAACAGCCGCCGGCCTCATTAGGAGACGTGTAATTAGCGGCTGGCGGAGCCGGAGCCGGCACGGGCTAATTACCGCGGGGAGCAGGCTGCACCGCCCACGCCGCCCGCCCCCGCCGCCGGGCCACCGTCGGTGTCTGGACCCTCGTGGGGAGGACAGACGAAACGGACCTGGTCCGGAGGAGGGGAGGCCCAGGACGGCCCCAGTGTGCCGGCTCCGGGGGCTATGCCTGGGCGGAAGATCATTTTCACTCAAAATTTCACTCAAAATTGCGTGTACTGTGTGCACCCCCCGTGCCAGGCGTTTTGCCCACGTTATCTCGTTTATCTCATATCCACCCTACAGCGAGGAACCATCGTCATCCTGTGGCACAGATGAGGAAACTGAGGTCTAGGGACATGAATTAAACTCCCGGGCAGCACGTGGCTGGAAAATGGAGAGGGAACAGACAAAACCGTGCACCGGACAGCGGACAGCAGCCGGACAGACGAGGGCAAGGACTCGAGTCGGATGGCCTTGGGTTCGAATTCTAATCTAGCTCCTTCCTGGATGTAACTTTGGTCTGAGCCCCAGCTGCATCAATAAAATGGGCGTGATGTTGGGATTAAGTGAATTGAAAGCTAGGAAGTATTGGGGGAATTATTTTAGGGACGCGAGCGGAGTGGGCGGGAGGGGGGCGGTGCTCTGAGGCTCTTTTTCCATTCAGCGCACAACAGGCCTCTGACGCCCCCTGCTGGCCAAATGGGGACGCTGGCGAGACCGTTTGGGGATAAACAGGTTGTTCTTGGAGGAGGAAAGGTAGCAGTAGACACAGGTCCCCCAGCAGAGCCACTGCCCTCTCGCCTCCCCTCCACCCCTTCCTTCCTCAACATGCCTCCTTTAAGGTGGCGAGGAGTTGAGAGATGGGGAAAACTGAGGATTCCTTCCAGATTTTGCAAATAAATGGCCTCCCTCCACGGACCTCACAGGGCCAGCCAGTTCCACAATTCTACAAACAGGAATGAGTATTAAGACCAAGGTACAAAGCTGTGCACCAGAGTACCGGGTCTGACAAAAAAGTCTGGAACTAATTTGAATGTCTGTCATTGGAATAGTGACCATTTTAGCGCTGTTACATCCAAACAATGCAATACTGTGCAGCTGAAAAATAACATTGCATAATGGCTGACATGAAAATATAGTCAGACAAACTTAAAGACATTAGGTTTAGCAAAAGGAGACACACACACGTGCTGTTGGATATCCATATAAAGTTCAAGTACGGGCAAAGCTTATCTTATGAGAGAAGTCAGAACAGAGGCTACTTCTGGGAAGGTTTTAGAAAGCAAGGAAATTTCTTAGGTATGGAAATGCTCCCTCTTAATCGGGGTGGTAGTTACAAAAGTCAGTCTAGACATATGTAAAAATTCATTGAGCTTTACACTTAATATGTACATTATACATGGTATACCTCAATAATACAGTTGTAAAAAAAAGTCATAAAAAGTGCTAAACACTTCGACCCCCTTTTTTTTTTTTTTTTTGCATAGATTTTTAAATGTTTATATATTTTGAGAGAGAGAGGGAGTACAAGCAGGGGAAGGGTAGGGAGAGAGGGAGAGAGAGAGAATCCTAAGCAGGTTTTGTGCTGTCAGAGAAGAGCCCACCTCGGGACTCAATCTCACAACTGTGAGATCGTGACTTGAGTCAAAATCAAGAGTCAGATGCTTAACTGAGCCACGCAGGCTGCCCCTTGATCCTATTCTTAGTAAGAAAATAAAAGGAAAAATATAATTTAACATAGGGCAGCAGTTCTGTTTTTTGTGTCAGGACCCCTTTACATTCTTAAATTTATTGAGGATCCCAAAGAGTTTTTGCTTTTGTAGGATATATTGATACTTACCATTGATACTAAAACGGAGAAATGTGAAGATTTCAAGTACATATTAACAAAATAAAACTGAGAAATGTTTAAAACAATACAAAATCCCATTAGCCATCAGAATGATGTCAGCACATGTCACATAGTCTCTGGAAAACCTTACTGTCCACTGAGACAGTGAAAAAGGCAAATAACATCTTAGTATTATTATTAAAGTAATTTGACCTTGGGGACTCCTGAAAGGGTCTCAGAAAATCCAGTGGTCCCTGGACCTCACTTTGAGAATTGCTGGCACAGGGGGAAAGAGCAGGAAGAAAATACACTACATGATAAATTATTCGCTCTCAGTGCTGGGATTATAATTTATTTTTATTTGCTTCTTGTACTTTTCTGTTTAAAAAAAGTAAAATGTGGGGCGCGTGGGTGGCTCAGTCCCTTAAGTGTTCCATTTTGGCTCAGGTCATGGTCTTGCAGTTCCAGGGTTCAGGCCCCACGTAGGGCTTGGTGCTGACAGCTCAGAGCTTGGAGCCCGAGAGTCTGCTTTGAATTCTCTCTCTCTCTCTCTCTCTGCCCCTCCCCCACTCGCGCTCTCTAAAAAAAAGTAAACATTAAAAAAAAGTAAAATTTAACGACCAAGGGTTGTTTTTGCAAACAAAAACCAAGACAGTACACCCGTCTCCATAACATTGTTGAAAGACCCAAACAGTAATAACATATTTGGCTGTAATAAAAAATTAAACTGAGCTCTAACCTGAATCTAAGGGTCCGATTTCCCGTGTCAATCCCAGGCGTGTAAGTGCAGGGTCTTGCCCTCTTAAATTCCACCGTCTAGTCTAGGGAGTGAATATAAATGCATACACAACTGTATTGCAAGGTAACAGAAAGCAGACATCCCGAGAGTCCCAAATGCAGCAGCTGCCTCCTACACAGATTTGCAAACTCCGGCGTGGAGCAGAACCACCCAACACAAGCATACACCACGGAACCGCGGACCTCAACCACGGAATACCTAAACCTCAACAAGGCAGTCCAGCAGGGCGCATGCGCCCTCCAAACGTTTGCGGGAGGTGGGGCTTAAGGGAGACTGACATTGGGCTCGGCCTCCCAACACTCTAGCCCCGCCTTCTTACCCTGCTTCCCTCTCTGAGTGGCTGCAAGATTACGGAAACTAATTTCCCATTTGCCGCCAGCGAAACCGACATCCGCTTTGGGCGTAGGGCAGCCGGAGCAGAGACCGCCATGGTGCGATTCAAGCACAGGTAAGCGGCGGCGGCTCGACAAATCCTGCCCTGTTAGGTCCTCGCGGCCCCGGCTCCACGCTCACTTCCCTGCTGCCCTCCGCAGGTACCTGCTCTGCGAAGTCGTGTCTGATGACCCCCGCTGCCGTCTGAGTCTGGAGGACCGAGTGCTGGGCGGCCTCGTACGAGACACAATCGCTCGCGTGCACGGGACTTTCGGCGCCGCCTCCTGCTCCATCGGCTTCGCGGGTGCGAGGGTGCTGGGGAACTAGGTGGACGGTGGGTTTGGGAGGGAACGGGGCGGAAAGGGAGAAGGAAGGGGTAGGAGTGACCGCAGGAGCTTCCAAGCTCGATACACAATCCTCACTGTACGATATCGTCCTCTTGAGGCCACTTGAAGCCTGAGCCGGAAGTCTGAACGAGTCCGAAGTTAGGCAGAAAGCTAAAAGCGGGGGCGCCTGGGTGGCTCAGTTGGTTAAGTGTCGTCGGACTTAAGCTCAGGTCATGATCTGACAGTGAGTTCCAGCCCCAGGTAGAGCTCTTGTGCTGACAGCTCAGAGCCTGGAGCCCCTGCTTCGGATTCTGTGTCTCCCTCTCTCTGCCCCTACCCCTCTCACGCTCTCCCAAAAATAAGCAGTAAAAAAAAATTTTTTAAGGAAAAAAAAAAGCTAAAAGCAGAAGGCGATGGGACTTGGGGCAAGAATCTCCTTTGCCTATTTGACATAGTATTTTGGGGGATTGCGACTGAATTAAGCAGGATAATGAGTTAAATGGGGGAAGACGCGTATAGTTCCGAGAAAGCTATTTGTTACATTGACATCCTATGGTGCGAAGAATTGTCAGAATTACCTCTAAAAAGCCCTTAATAGTACAGGCAGGTAGAGTACAGAACTCATAATTGTGTGTATGTAAATGAGGAAGAGGATTCTTCCCACAGCACCAAGTTTTTTAAATTCGTTCCCTCCTTTACCCTGTGCTCAAAACTGAATACTGGAGAATCACATGCATGCACACAGGCACAATTCTCCTACATCAGGTCATTTGCAGTTGGCTGCTTCAAGACCTACAGAGCCCAGTTGCAATAGAACCACCTTTCAGCCAAGAGTTTTCTCTGAGGGAGGTGGATCTCTGCTAGCCCCAACCTCACTTATCATAGTGATTTAGAAGAGCATTTATAATTCTGAATTCATTCACCAGTTCCGAGTGGTGTGCAAAAGCTCTGGATGTGGTTTGTCCCCTTTCCATAAATGAAGGTCTGTTCTAAAGCTCTTTTCCTTTAGGAATTTGTTTTTACCCACTTGATAATACATCCCAAGTGCCACTGCCTGTCACCTAGTAGACTCTCGATTAGTCTTAAGATTTTTAAGTGAATCCAAAATCTCCCAAAATGATTTTTTTCCCTGTAGTGCGATACCTCAATGCCTATACTGGAATAGTGCTACTTCGATGCCGGAAAGAATTCTACCAACTCGTGTGCTCAGCTCTTCCTTTCATCACATACTTGGAGAACAAAGGACACCGTTACCCGTGTTTTCTTAACACTTTGCACGTGGGAGGTAGGGGTGCATATGGTATGGTTGCTGATTTCTAATACTAACAGGTTCAGGGTTCAGTCTTGACAGCGGGTGGGTCTTCTTGCTATCCTGCCAAGAACAAGACGTTTTCACCTAGCTTGGAAAGACTTGAAGCAGACACCTTTCACAAGCTGTTGACCACAAAGCTCTTTCATGTGCCAGGTACAATCCGAACATGTCAGAAGTTCCTGATTCGTTACAACAGGAGACAGCTATTGATGTTATTGCAGAACTGCACTGATGAAGGTAAGCGACATTAGCCCAGTGCCCACCGAACAGTAACTAACCTGAGTAAGAGGTCACTCCCAAAGACCTCTTTCATCCCTGCTGTCTGCCTTTCCAGGAGAGCGGGAAGCTATCCAGAAGTCTGTCACAAGAAGCTGTTTACTAGAGGAGAGGTCAGATGAGGAGCAGCTTTCAGATAGTGGCAGTGAGGAGCCTTCTGAAGCAATGGAGTGAATTTCTGCAGGCTATGCTGTGCCCAAGATTCAGGGCCCACTTGTTGGAACAGGACATTTTGGGAAGGCAGCAGCATCTACTACGGTTTCCCAAACTGGATGACTGCTGACCAGAGGCCAGGTTATCAGCTTAAAATGGAGGACGTGTTCACTTAAACTGAAGTCACTTTTACCTACCAGTGCCTGGTTAAGTGGTTCTGCAGGTGAAGCCCCTGTGGTTACAGACATCTCTGTATCTAATTGCCTGGCCAGAGTAGGTTTAATAAATGTCCTTGGCTTCTGTAGCATTTAGCTTACTTAAGTTCAAGTTTGGCCAGGTCTCCTTCCCCCTCAACCCCTGGCCTCACTGGGAAGACTGGCTCCCCTATAGGATAGCAGATGCATAGCCTCCCACTTGAGCCCTGTGCCCCAATCCCTAGGATGAACCCTAAGTATTCCAAGTCACTCAGAGTAAGTGTATTGGTGAGACACAGCAAGTGAACTGGTACAAATTTATAGCTGGTCTCATTCCTGACCCACAGGGCCTTAAAAATGCCAGATTCCTTACCAATAATAATCAGGTTAACAGGATGACACAGTTTTTGCACTTTTCTTGAGGGGGAACAAAACCTAGCCTTGCCTGACATCACTACAAAGCCAAGCAGCAGTTGCCAACTTCCAGTAGTTTTCTGCAATTCCTCCCTTCCCTACTGTCTTCACCTGACAGGTACCTGAAAACCCGTGACCCTGCCACACTCACAGAAGCAGGAAGGTTTTGATCTACTGCTGACATTTCTAGGATGTTTTTTTGAATAAAACATGTTATTCGGAGTCCCTTACACATTTAACAGAAGGATTTGTAATTTTTGTTTCAACATGTCCCCTCATTTTCAGGGCTGAAACACCCTCATCCACCCAGGAGAGTTCCTATTCCAGAATTTCTGAACTTCTTCCTTTTAAGAATGACGGGTTAAAGCTAAGCCCAACTCAAGAACCCTTTGGGCCTGACACCAGGAGAGACATTGCTCCATGATAAGAGTGCTCAAACTTCTAGTGTTGTTACTTTAACCTATTTAAGGGGGAGCCTGGGTGGCTCAGTCAGTTAAACGTCCATCTGACTCTTGATTTTTTTCAAGTCATGTTCTCAGGGTTCGTGAGTTCGGGCCCCCACTGTCAGGGACTGTGCTGACAGTGCAGGGCCTGCTTGGGGGATTCTCTCTCTCTCTCTCCCCCCTCTCCCACACTCTCTCAGAATAAACTTTAAAAAAAAAAGTCTTAACCTATTTAAGAGGTATGTCTATCTAACCTATAATGAACTTTAAAAAACCAGAAAGTTCGCATTGCTTGTGCAAGTGATTTATTGCAACTATTTGCCTTCACATTCTACTATACCTAGAGGTCACTTTATTAAGCAGCAAAATAATTCACATCACTCAAATTCAGCTGAAACCAAGGCATAGACCGCTTCAGACAAAAGGAGGCAGTGGGTACCCCCACCGCTTTCAAACCTGCCCTACTCTGCCGCTCCTACAACTGAGGCCACTGTCACTTTTAACAGGCTTGACCTAAAAGTTGGCAGGTTCCAGGCCTTCTTTAGTGACAATTACACCTTTCCTTGCCAAACAGAAGCCACATTCAAGAGGTGTAAAACCCTCCATCACATATGTAAGCAACCCAGGTCTGGCACCACAACTGACCATTTCTCAGAAGAAAAACTGCAATTCAGGCTGGGTATCCTAAGTCTGTTTTATTCCCATCCTTCTGTTTCTTTAACAAGAGGAGAACTAAACAGGAAAGATTCAGCTGTTTTTAAAAGACACATTGATAGGTGTGTTGAAGCCATGATGCCCTGACATGTCAGTAGAACAGTGCTAGAACACTCTGGTTTGGGCTGCTCTGTGGGATGTTGAAGGAACTCAAACTTACTTGGGTTGAGAAAAACTAATTACATGGGGCAAAAAGACTAACCTGGTAACAAACTAAAAATCTTGGCAGGAAGAGAGATCTCTTGTGTGTCAATACTTTATTTTGGTGTAAAGATGGGAAGCTGGAAAATACACTGTATTTAAAATTTTCTTGGTTCCCCCTCACGCTGTGGAAACCCCCTCCCCCCAGAGCTAATCTGTTCAAACTCAAATACTTAAAAATTACAGCAGCAAAACAAAAGCACAGGAAAAAGAAAACCAGATGGAGAAGGTAGCCAGGGCCAGTAGTGTCACTTGGTGTGGACGACTGAGGTGCTGAACAGGAGCTTTTGTTTCTGTTTTTTTCTTTTCTTTCCTCCTTTCTCTTCTAAATGGAAACACAGAAAGAACTTAGCTTAGAATGCCATCCCCTTACCCCAGCCAGTTTCATCCCCGAGAGTCTCAGAGTGGCAGTTAAGGTTCTAGGATGAAGACCCCCTGGATCCAGATACCAGTCCTTGCACACTCCAGGTATCTGGGCAAGTCACTTTACATCCCTAGACCCGTTTCCTCATCTGTAACATAGTCCTACCCCTTTAATATGGTTGTTGGGAGAATAAAATGAGCACAAGGCTAGGTAGGCACAGCAAAGGCACACCACGAATGCTAGCGATCTTGTCTAACTGAATACTACAGAGTGGCGTGGGCTTCAAGCCTGACTTCTCCACCTATTGGCCACCTTCTACCAAACTCAGGATTCTAAAATCTACTCTCCATTACGTCTTAGAGGGAAAAAATATAGAGTTCTTCAGAATTTCACAGCTGGGCCTCAATAATTAATTTGGGGTGGCAAAAACGTCCTAGCTGACATGAGCATGTGAGCCTAGGGGCTCAAGAGAAAAGTG